TTCATATGACATTCATTTTAGCGAGCTGTAGCCATTTATTCTTTACTCCTTGTATTGTCAGAAGCTAAATCCCAGCAATGCTGCTGATCCAAATTTCTGTTTCACATGTTGGAGCCTTGAAATATGAAGGCAAGCTGCAATGTAAGTGAAACCCAGGCTAATGGCACAAAGATGCACTGAATGACAAATGGAACAAAACTGAAGGGTGTTCAGCTGAAAAATATACATTGTAGTATGTGTGCATGTGTATAAATGTGCAAATAGTTTAAAACTTGTAACATTCTGCGCATCCTCCTTCATCCATTTTACCTTTTGTAATTGCCCATTTACTGCGGGCATTTTAGCATGCAGGACTCACTGGGTTTCAAACCAAGGGAAAAGGATACCTGAAAAAAGAACACCAAAAGAAGGTGATCAAGAAAAAGGAGTCCTTACGTGCTCTGAGGTCACTTAGACACACAAAATCTCTAAAAAGGTCTGCACTGCCACTGGAAAATTTCTAGAGGACCACAAAACTGAAGAAGACCAAGAGTTACCACATCAGATTCTTCATCAAAACCCCATTACACACACACACTGTGGAGTTCACCTCGGACATCCATTTCAAGACACCTTTTCAGAAATATTTATTTAAGGCTGCATTGCTAGAAAGCGAGATCCTAGTGAAATATAACTGCTTTGGGTGACAGATCGAGAGTTTGTTAGAAGTTGGGTAAAGTTGTAGATGGTTAATAGAGTCAACAGAGTGGCAATTGGGGTCTTAGGAGGCTTTGGCCCCTTTCTAGGTTTACTTTGTTGTGCATCATGCCACTCCTTCTTCCCTGCATGATGCTTTCTGGAAAGAACTGAGGGAGAGAGATGCTGTTGCTATACCTGCCTGACCCTCCTGCTGCCTTACCTGGGACCATCCACTTGTTTTGGGGGTTGCACTCACTTTTTCTCCCTGTCGCTTACCATTTAATATAGTGCTAGCACACATTGTTTTGGTAACTAGTAACCAGCATTTTTACTGTGGATGATCTCATGGCTCTGGAGTCCAAATGAAGAGATGGCTGCAGCCAAGAGGACTAGGATCAACAACTGAAAATGTCTAAGATGAAAATCATATCTAGTCTCATTAAGACATGGGCTGAGCCTGCTCCTAATTCTGATACCTCACTGGAAGCCAAGCACCTCCAAAAGGACTGTTTTTGCTGAAGAGCAGCAATTTCATGTGGTTATCTTGCAGAATGCTCTTTCAGTAAGAAACTGTTTAATCCAGTATGACATCCAGTCCCACTTCAGAAACCTCTCTGACTTGCTTTTCCTATACCAGACAAAAGAGATGAGAACATTTTCCTGATCAAAATGTGGTTTCTTTCCAGGTACCAAAGCTATTCCAAAGTAAAATGGGTTTTTATTTATGCACACAGGCTAGAAGGATTGCCTCAAAGGGAGTTTTCTAGTCCAGGGGACAAATAATAGGAGTTATATTCCTTATCATCACAGCAAATGAAATTAATACCTAATATTTCTTCTGCCTAACAAAGTAAGTAATTAGCAGTGCCATAGTCAAGGGAACATGCAGGTAAATGGAGCAATAATTGGGGTGATATAACATTTGCCCACTTCTCAGATGAGGGATAAGGAGCAGGCCAGCAAGTGAACCCGCATTTTATTTACTGCTGCACCACTGGTAATTAGACAGCTTGCCATAATGGATTAGCAGCAGCCAGTGACACCCGTTATCCCTGGCAGTGCATGCTGCAGAAGAGGCTGCTAAAGGCCAAGAAATACAAGTGTGTAAAAGATAAGAATAGCAAGTGCCCTCCCCATGTCAGGCTGACTGGGAGCTGAAAGCAAGCAAGAAAGTCAATCTCTAAATATGCCAGTTAATTTTAATGACATTGAAGTTTTACTGACAAGTCTGAAGTATTTTAAGTAACGTCAGAATTATCTTACTTGGGAGAAAACCGACTTTTTATGATCTTTTTTTCATGTATAAGTTGCATTACTGTTTTATGAGGGAAGCCTGTCAATTTGCCTGCTTTGAACAGAACACCTCTGCAGAGATGTACTCATTGCACTATATACCCTGCTCCATCACCAGTGGAAGAAGGTATTTTGGGAAGGCTATGCCCACAGTGCTGTACTGCCTGTGTAACCTCACTGCCAGCCTGGAGCTATGCTGTTCAGCAGCAGCTCTGCACCCCTGGGGCAATCCCTCTGGCAAGGCAAGGTGACCTTTCAATGCAGACCTGCTCCATTGGCACCCTCGTTTCCCAAGTGTGAAGCTGGCCTTGCACAGGGATGCTCAGGGAGCCCCCTCTCTCTCCAAGGCAGCATGAGCATCACCACAGCAAAAACGGAGCTCTGAAACATCCCAGGGAAATGAGAGAAGGTCTTGGCTTGTTCACTTGATTGATTGATTGATTGATGATCTTCCAGCAGGGTATAAATCTCCTCGCATCTCTGTGTCTTTCTCTGGCCTGAACACCAAGGAAACACTAACATCTCCTCCCTGCAATGTGAAGGGAGCTTTGTTTTTCCCAGTTCACGTCTACCCATTCTTTCCAGGGTTAAAAGAGGGGCCATAGGGTTTAATAGTCCCCCATGACTGTGCTATAGGCACAGGTTTTAAAAAAAAAACAACATTTTGTTGACACTAACATTGGTTTTATTTCTGAGCAGCCATCAATTAGTTCACAAGCACTCACACACACAATAGCACAAAGGTGCACATCCCAGCCCTGAGTCAGAGAGATCTATTTCAGTAGTATGTAAAACCCAAACTGCTTCTCAGAGCTGGGGCATTCTCTTTTGGGGTTTTGCTGCCACTGGGCTCTTCCCAAGACTAATGGCATCATCTTCCCCAGACACTTTGTACCAGCACATCTTGCTCTTGTTACTTCTCTGGCCGTGTTTCAGTGCCCTTGGCCATATTTCTACCTGCTTCTCCAGCTCTGCAGCACAGCTGACTGTGGAGAGAGCTGTTCCTTTCCACACTTTGTTTCCCTGTTATGAAGGAACTTTTCCTGTGCAGTGCTTAGCCCCTGCTGGCCCCTGGTCACCTATATTGGGCCATGGCCTGACTAGTGATTTAACCTTTCGGCAATCACCGTAGGATTTCATTCAGTGGTTTTAACAGCAATCCTGTCCTCCGTTAAAAGGCTATTGTGTTTTAAGAGCAATCTCCATAAAACCCTCCTGGGTTCAGCCTTACTAAGTTCAATGTTTTTTTTCCACTGGGCAAAGCCTACCTCTGGTCTCAGGTGGAGGCTCTTGCCCTCTGTTTTTCCCCTTCTCTATCCTCTGCTGTAGGGCAGCGAGAGAGCCCAGTTTGTGGAGGCACCCAGCAGGGCCCCATCTCCTAGCAGGGGAAAACCCCTTCCCCCCACCAGTGGGCCTCCCTCCCACCCCTATTCCCCACTGCCAATCGCTGTATCCTCCTTAATGGTATTACAGCCATGAAATATGATTTTCTTCCAGTTGGGAATAGGAATTTTGCCATGTTTTGCTGAGCAGCACATTTAATATAAATAATTCCTACTGCTCACAGGCTCCCACTTTCATGTAAAGGTTTATGCTGAGCCCACAGCAAAGAATTTTAGGGAAAGGCTATTCATTAAGACCCTGCCTTACTTGTCTGTCACTTCCAGAGATCCCCTACAGGCAGAAGGGGTCATGTAATGTCTTATTTATATCAAGCCTTCCAGTAATTATTTTTCTCCACAACATTTTAGCACACACCTGTTTTTTTTCCTCATTTCTCTCTTTGTGGTGCTTTTTGATTTTTTTTTTTTCCCCACCCCAAGTTGCTTGTTCTGATGCTAGCAGGAGACATCCAACCTTTTAAAGAAATCATTCATTTTTTTAAAGGTTGAACATGTCATGGTAAGTTGGTGTACCTAATATTAAATCCCAGCTGTTTCTTTCAAAGTTCTTGAGCATTGGATAACTTGCAGAGGCACTCATGAGCTCTGTGACCCTGGCACAGAGGGTGGACGTGGCATGCAAAACCACTGATGGAAACCACTGAGAAGCACACACATGTCCAGAATAAGGACTGAATCCTCTTGTGTAGCTCAGCCTACAGTCGAAAGATCGCATACAGGATGCAGAAATAAGCTATTACTGTTTTGTTGCTACCCATTTGCTCCACAGGAGCTGCTCATAGGAGTTCTTGTCACAAATAAACCATCACAACATGGATCTTCACTGGTAGCCTTAGCACAGGCACCAGCTGCTGTCCCATGACCTAGGCAGCACTGCTATGAGCAGTTAATCGGAGCATCCTAACCAGGTGAAGATAGACTCGAGTATCGGCAATGTGCTCTTTCCATCCTCGATGTAACATCTGTCACTTGAGTTTGTGTGAGCTCCACAGCTGTAAGTACCAATTCCTGCGCCTGGTGCTTCCCAATCCACCTTGTAAACACAGCAAGGGTGGAAACAGAGGAAGAAAACGTTACAGAAAGAGATGGAGTTAAAAAAAGGCAGCAAGGTGACCCACTTTGCACAGGACTGGTCTCTGTGAGTACCAAGGAGCTGGCAGCAGTGGGGAGGCCGTTGGAAACAGTCAAAATGCACCTCCTGCACGCCTGGCACTGCTCTCAGTGGAGCTGCAGAAGAAGTGTTTTCATGTCTCTGAGCTTCCAGCCCAGCCAAGCAGTTTAACAACCCGCCGTGGTTGGCATGAGCAGCCAGTGCTGGCCCTGAAGTGCCACCTCATGGTTTTGAAATGCCACATCCTGAGAGGCCTCTGCTCCGAGCTCAGGGAAAGAACCGAGTACCTCTGTGAGCACGGCAGGTCCGTGTTAGTGGTTTACAGCTGGCCACCAGAGCACAACAGATCAGGACTAACTCAAAGTGCTTTTTTACAAAGCTGCAATATAAAGATTGTAGCAGGCCGGCTTTAGGACTTGGATGGGTGCACAGGTTCAAAAAAGACAAATGGAGAGTCAGGGCAGCAGTGGGTGATGGAGGAAGGTTTAAAGCTCAGCCTACGGAGCCTAAGGAGCAGACGGAATTGAGAAGTGGAATGAGGAGAGCTCTGAAAATACCCGAGAAGAGACAGCTCACAGGATAAGGCATCCTGACAGATATGAAGAGTAATGGGGAAACAGTCTTACAGCAAAAACCAGGGGTGCAAGGGCAGGGAGGAAACTTCATCGCGTGTTTACACAGAAGAGCTGATATGTTACAGACCATGTGCAGACATGATTTTAAGAAGTAGCCAGTGATTCTGGGTGCCACATGGAAGAGCTGACAGCCTGAGACACCTTCAAGTGATTTGACTGTTTCAGTTTTGGAAAATGAGACACCCGTAAGGCCTCTCAGGTTTAATGTGCATAGCCCCCTCTGAATTGCCACAACCAGAGCCAGCCTAATGCTGTTTTCCTGAAAACCTTGGTCCCCATTTATGAAGTAAATGGCCTGAGAGCAAGCGGTGGCTGCAGCTTGTAGTGGTCTGTATCTTCACACAACACCCAGCCAGGCTCCACATGGACCCATGGATGCTGCTCTAGCCTTACTCTCATCCAGGCAACTCTCCAGAGGTGCCAGAGGCAGTGAAGGCCAGGCTTTAGCAATATCCTGTTGCTCTCACAGAGCTATTCCTTGCTCATTCACTTTGAACTTTCCCTTCACAGCCCTGTTAAAAGCACCCTGATTCTTCCATAAACTTTGTCAGCATAGTCCATGCAGCAGCGAATGAACCTGCATGAACCACATCCCGGTGCAGAGACCTCCCCATCTTTCTGCAGCTGCTAACCTTGCACACATGTGTGCTTTCTGTGCTTCACATGGGGGTCAGCAGCCACAGCTCTGCAGGCTTCCATCACAACAAGCCTCCAAAGACTGACCCCACAGAAGCTATGCCACCCCACTGCTAATCTGACCAGGCCTGCAAAGACTGAAAGCTGTACTTTGTTAACATTTAACCTTGCTTAAGCCTTGAGCTTGGGCTACTTTCAGCTGCCCCAGGATGATTGATAAAAGACCCCTCGTGGCATCACTAATTTGGGGGGCAGTGCAAGCTGTATGGGTTCCCATGCACACATATGGAAGAGCTTCGGAGTGTCAGATCCAATACTCAATCTCTGTATCAGCAAAGGTGTAATGAAATTCACGTTATTGCTCCTTGAATAGCTTAGATTTAGGATTGTGTAGAAGAGAGCTCAAGTCTCGGGGCCGCTATTTGGGTAAAAACTTGGGGAAGTAATTCTCCCGCTTGTGCTATTAAGCATGTGGTTTTCTTTATTTTGAGATCTCACTTTGCCTGGTATACATACATCCATATATCTCACAGCGCTTGTATGGAAACCATACACAATAACAAAATAGCCTTATGTACCGTTAAGGCTGGTTTTAAAATTTACAGGGTATAACCCTCTTTTTTTCTTATATTTTTTTTTTACTTTTTTGTTGAAAAGAAAAATTTTAAAACAGTTCCATATAGTTAATGTGGTGTTTGGCCTTCCACTAAAAAGATACTATTAAACCAGTCACAAAAACACTAGCAAGTGAGCAAATGTTTAAACCACAAATCTCCCTAAACTCCTAAGGGAAGGAAGGGGGTGGGGGGCTCTACCAGTTCCAAAATGGCAAGATCATATATCAGAGGTGAATAATAATGTGCAAAAAATATGTTTCAAGGAATAACACAAACTAGGAGGGGTGGGAGAGAAAGCACTTTAAGAGATGAAAAAGCTTAAATCCAGGAAAGATGGAGATTATAGTAGTGTAGGGGTGACCGGTTTGCTAAAGGAGTGTGGGGAGAGATGTAGAGGGGGTGAGGGAGAGAAAGAAAAGAAAGAAAAGCAAAGCAAGAGAGAGAGACAGAAAGAAAGACAGAAAGACAAAGCAAGCAAGCAAGAAAGGAAGAAAGAGAAAGAAAAGTGAAAGAGGGAAAGACAGAAAAGTGAAAAAAAAAGAAAAAAGATAAAGGAAAATAAAAATACAAATAAAATAAAAAAAGATTATGAAAAGAAAGAAGAGGACTGAATGGGAGTGAAGTAGCAGGGTGAAAACCACCCTGGTTGTGGCAATGCAAATGAGGCCTCTCTGAACCAGCATGCACGAAGCACGACTGTATATTCCATACACGAGACAGTTAAAAATTTGAACATAAGGTAGCATTTCCTTTATCATATCCCATAAAAATAGCAATTTGCTAAAGCCCTTGTAGCACAGTATGGAAGGTGGTGTATTTTACTGATAATGTAGAGATGACAGATAGTCCTATACTAGGAGGTTTCAATGGTGTCTTGCTGTATAGCATAATAAATTGTGAGGAGCAGAGACAGAGGACAGTGCAGGCACTGCTCCACCTCCAGTAGCCAAATAATTCAGCTCCAGCTCAGTAATTATGCTGTGTGAAAATATGGGATTAATTAGACTGGTACACTAACACACTGTAGTCTCATTAAAGGCTGAACAGCATTTTCATAGATACTGCCACTTGAACAGGGCTGCTGCTAATGTGAAAAGACAAAGTCTCCTCTTTTCACACTCCTTCCATATTATCTTACTTAAGGCCACTTAAGCAAACTTCCAAAGGCAGCCTGGCAGAAAGCCCTTTCTGGGATTTATTTTGTTATTTTACCTGTGTGCCAGGGAAGCAGGGTGAAAAAACAAGCCAAGGGGAAATGCTAACATTAGCAATAACTTCAAATTCTCCCTTTGCACCAACCAGACTTGCTTCTTTCCTTCCTTCCTTCCTTCCTTCCTTCTTAATTTTTCCCTATCACTCTTTTGGGGAGGGAAGCGTGGGGGATGGGATGTGTGATAAAGGGAAGGGCTGCCTCAGAGAGAATGAAAGGTGTCCCCATTGCAAGCCTCAACTGTTTGATTTCAGTTTAAGAGGTCAGCCTTTCCAAAGGATTTGCTCAGCCTGATGAGGGGTGTAGGAGACCACACCAATGTCACAGCCCAATGGAGGCGTGCTGGAGTAAATAAGACCTGCGTGTTTTGAAATGAGAGGTGATTAGTGAGCCAAAAGACACAATTTATGCTAAATAGTTACTGTTTCACAATCTTTTATCTGCAGAGAAAAACCTCCTCATGGTTACTCCAAGCCACCAAAAAGGTCTCAGTCACCCAGCAAGTTCAAACGTTGCTACACCCACAATTAAATCTCTGTGGCTTCTGACAAACCACATGGAAAAAAATAAAGTATGTAGGACAATGGCCTTGCAGACAATAAAACCACCTCCCTCAGAATCCAGCATCTGGGAGAAAACTGGCTTTGGAAGGGATGTAAGGCTGTAACACAGGCTCCTTTAAACAAGCAGATCTACTCCATCAGCTCCCCTTGCTGCCGACACCTCATGGGTCAACAAAGCCAGTCAATGGGTCTCTGGCAACCCCGCTGCTCTCTGCTCCCTTCTGTGTCACTCTGTGGCTTTGACCCTGCACGGGGATGCTCGCTGAAGCTGGAGGTAGGTGGGAATTGGTGTTGGCATCATCCAGAGGATCCTGATGGGGAACAGGTTTGGTCCTTGTGTTCTTTAATTCTGGGTAAATGGTGGGGATACAGTCTGCTGCGTGGGGAGCATTCTGCCACAGGGGTGTTAATATATAAAGCTTGTCCTTTAAAATTAACAGGCCTCCGTAAAGACCTGCTTCACCCTGCTCTCAGGAGAGCTATTAGAGCAGAGAGAGACTTTGCCACATACGTAGGAAGGAAGAGGCTGGGGGGAGAGGCAGGAGAGGAGCCAGCACATCCCGATGACAGACAATAACAGAGGTATCTGTGCAGAAATACTGTGGGCTTGGAGATGCCTTTGAAATAGGCAACTGTAATATTCAAGTCAGAGAAATAGCTGATGTTGAATAGACTGAAACCTGCTTTGTGACTTAACAAAAGTGGGCAATAGAGAGAGGTTGACATGAAACAAGTCAGTTTGCAGCAGGCTCTAAGGTTAGCATCATTAGCAAAGGGGAAAAATGATTAGCAGTAAAAAGTGAGACATGAAAAAGAGATTTAAAAGGAGAGCTAGAGGGAGCTAGGGGATGGGGGGTGCTTTATTTGTACCTGAGGAAAATGAAAGAGATTCCTTCCAGACACATTTGAATACTCTCTGCTGCCTTCACACACAGGAGTTTTATGAATATTTACTTTTCACATGGTTTGGGGAGGGATAAATTCTTTGGCACTGGTACTGAAATCTGAAAGCAGTTTCTCCTGTCCATTTGCAAATTGCTCATATGAAATCAAAGGCCAAGAGCATCCCAAATAATATCCCTCCTGCAGGTAAATGCTTTTTCATTCATCTGTTGAAATGTAGGTGATCGACCTTCAGGGTTGTTGGACCCTGTTGGCCTGAGGTAAGTTTGTCAGATCCAGCTTTAGCTTGGTTGGTGTGGAAACACTCAGTAGGGCTTTAGCTCTCAAGTGACAATGCCACTTTTAATAAATACTATTTAGGCTCTTAAGTCTTGTAAGCTCTTTTGAAACCGTTACGTCCTGACTCACTGCACAGAATACTTTAGGGTCTTCATCCTGAGATGGGGACAGCATGCAGCCATCAAGGTCTTTACATTCAGTCAGTGTTAGTAGTGTTATCCTGAAGACACGAGAGGAGTTTCTGGTGTCAGGAGGCTTTTGAAATACATCTTCCATACCATGAGGGTACTCACATTACACCACCTTCACTGAGGCTGGTATAAAGGAGCAGAGAGACCGTGGAGGGGCTTGTGTCGCACAGCCACCTGTGTGCTGCTGCTCTATGCGTGTGCTCATGCACTGTCACTGAGACAGTGGTGTGTCTCGGTGGCATGTCAGGAGTCCTAATTCACCACACCAGCATGAGCCTTTGGAGACTGCAGGTAAAATACTAATGGAAGGAAATATGGAAATATAATTCTGACACACCAGCGAAAGAAAATGAGCACTGATTATGAGAGCTGTCAGCTTCATCCTTCTCTCATCTTGTTGTGTCTATGGGAATAGAGAAATCAAATTAAAAATGCCTGAGTTCATTCAGGAACCCAAAGGGGAACATATTGATCTGCAGATAAGGTCAAATACATGCCCTCCAGTTTATGAGTAGGGGGGAACTTCAGATGTGTGTGAAAGAGGGAATGAGTGACTCCAAGGCTGGCCAAAAGAGGACCCTCTCTGATGGTCCTTCTCATGAGAAATACCTTTCAAAAGTTGGATAACAAAACCCAGCTGCCTGAACATCTATAGACAGCACTTGAAAAGCAGTATCCTTCAAACTGCCTCTTACAAGTGGAGATGGGAGGAAATAAAAGTGACAAGGATGTTAGCTGACCACAGCCCAGCAGGGCCTTGCAGTGTTCCCTGCTCCCTGGGAAAGGGCCACTGGTGGATCTGAGCTCCCATCTGCGGAGAGCAAAGCGGGAGCTGCTTGCCACTTAAGCCGTAAGGAGTTTAGTCAGCAGAGTCAAGAATATCAGTTACCTGAATGTTAAAATTTTCCCTGACTTCTTCATCAAACTTCTTCATCTCCTGAGAGTGTTCAGACAAAAAAGTTACTAAAATATCATTTTTCCTCTGTGTCCTTTGTTATGTTTGCATTTCATCTCAAGGCCCATAGCGGCTACTTAGAGGGAAGAAATAGACTTTTCACTGGAATAATGACAATTTGGAGGCCATCGTTTTGCTCTATTGCGGTTCTATGCCTTTTTTCTGATATACATGAATTCAAAGGCTGGTGCTTAGATCTCAGACAGGATAAAGCCAATGTTTGCTTCAGAAGGATATTCTTTGGGAAGAGTACATTTTTCGCAATTGTGGAATGACATATTGCTCTGGGGTTATAAAGCAAATTTTATATTTAAAAAGCTATCTCCAAGACATGCGCTCCTTTAGCTCAGCTCAGCTAAGCAAAATACAGAGAGAGAGAGAGAGAACAGGAGAGAAAATGAATTAGCTTGAACTTTTGCTGAGATAAATATGGCCTGATCTTTTAAGTTCGGTTCATGTAAGCGATCGCACTGAAATCAGTGGGGTTTCACCCACGTACTTGGAAGCAGACGTTGGCCCCATATGGCTTAGCAATAAAAAAACATTTTCAAAACATCAACTAAACTTTTCTGTAGTTAGAGACAGGACGCAGTGAAATACCTGCCTCACCCGACTCTCCACAGCTCCCTCTGCGTTTTGTGGCTGCGTCAGGACCAGGTGCCCTATGCACCTTGTCCCTCTTCCTGGCCACACCAAACCCTGCCATTCACTGGTGCTTTTGGTGGGCCTGCAGGAGCCCCTGGAGTGATGGTGGCAGTGCACACCAGGCTGAAGGTAAAGCGGGTCACCAGAGCACTCACCCAATCGGCAATGGGAGACCATCACGTGAGGGAAGTGCCTCCACTCGTTGCACTGGTCCAGAAATGGCAATGTTGACTTAATGCATACAAAGCAGCAAGGGACAAACTGGTCCCTCATCTGCCTGAAATCATGTTGAACTGAGAGGAAGGGAAAGAGTGTGAGCGAGGGTGTGCACACCCGTCTGGGCATGCAGGGTGGGAGAGTGCCTCCCTCTGCTCCTGCCCCCATTTCTTTGCAGGGGCTCCAGATCATCTGCTGTTCACAGGCATTGAAAAACTAGTGGGAAAACCGACGCCTGGTTGTGACTAGAAGCTAATGTAGTCTACATGCAGCAGACATCTAATATGATGTTATTTATTCCCATAGATCTGTTTATTTTGTTTTCAATTTACCAAACCCTGTGACACATTCCCAAAGGTGCCTTGTTGTACAATACGTTGCACACAGTAAGATATTCAGCCTAATTCACTCTTTGTTTTGTTTCAGTTCAGCTGCATGAGGGCACAAATGCGTCTGTGTTATATCTTCTCCTGTGACTGATGTTGCAGACTATTGCCATAGGGTTTTGTGAAATGGGATCTTAGTTAATCTAGGGCATTGTCTTTGTAGTGCTGAATTCTTATTTGCAAACATAATGTTCTGGCATTGATGCAACAGGGGAACATTAGTGATTTTTTTTTTGTTTGTTTAGAATAGACTGTATGTATGTGTTTTTAATAAACTTCTATTCTAAAGCTTTTTCTCCCCATTCTGCTTTTGATCTGAGGCATTTATAACACATTGCATCATGTCACATTCATGTCTTTAGCTAGTCAAGCCAAATATTCATAAAACCCATGTGCCAAACAGAAAATGTACAATGCTAAGGAAAAAACTACCTGATATTTTCTATTTCTATATTGTTTGCCTTCTGCAGGAATTCAAGCCTTTAAACAGACAGACACACACATACAGAAAAGAGTTTGAAAGTATTGTCTGTCCATAGCCTGTTCTCAACATGGAAGGATGGTATCACTTAGAAATCGATGGCTTTTCTTTGCACTTCGTTGAAAGCTCTCCTGTTTTCATTTTTCTTTTATTCCAGGAACATGTTGTTATTTTGTGTCCTGAGGACCTGGTCTGAGGAGCTGATGCAGAATCAGGAATTCCAAATCGGATGACATTATAAAGGTGTGCTGCAGACAAATTTCGATGTAAACAGGATCTAGAAGAGATTTGATGAGATTGTGAAAAAATGAAGATGGGATGTAGATTCATTAATAAAACGGCCTGTGGCTAGTGAATGTAGAGCCTGATTGACCACAATTACTGCAGTTCGTAACTGGAAAACCAGATGTCGGAGGACATGCACAAGGTAAAGCTGGTCTGACATCAGAACTGAGCCTCATGTATTTATTGGGTGGCAAGTACAGAAACCCAGCTCTGGTTTGTGATGGGTATGTTTCTGTAACAGCATTTAAAGTGGATTAATTTTCACTTCAGCAAGCTTTCAGCCTGATTATCAAAAGGGCTTTCTTAGGAACCTGCTTGGACGATGAAGAAAACAGATCTCCCACACGTGCCTCCCAGTGCGCACACATTGGTGTCTGGCACAACAGAACTGGGCCCTTCACTTTGAATTAACACCAGCAGTACACCGCGCAAGCAGATGACTCCCCATCACCAGCTATTACTGCTCTGAGCTGTGCTCATCCCCTTTGCAGTGCAGGCAAAACAGGCCCCATGAGCTGCCACTTGCCCGATGGGTCAGCTCTCTGCTGCATGGTTGGGTGCCTGCATTTGGTGAACAACCAGGGCTGGCAGGTCAATCAAGGATCCCCCGGCAGGAACACTCAAAGCCTAGCTGTCCCTTTTATGCGGGCTCCTCTACACCCAGTAGAGACAACCCATGCAGTATCGTTGCCTGTATGTTTAATATCCACATGAGCTCCTTGCTTCATATACAGAAATGGAAATTGGCTATTGCATATCATGAGCAGAAATCCCCACAGCCAACAGGAACAGTCAGGAGGCAGGCGAAAAGATGGGGCACAGCAGAGCAGACAAAGAAATCCTCTTTTCAGTCCAGTGTCCACATCAGCCCCTGGAATCTGGCTTGTGGGTATGCTGAGCACACTCACAGTGGAAGACACCAAAGACCGTGATGAAGCATTAAAAGGGCAGTATGACGCTCACATACCAGGAATATCTCCCCATTTGCCAAAGTCTAAGAGCTTTGGAAAGATAATGCTCAGAGGAGTTCCCCCAAGTGGTTGGAGAACTTTCTCTATACTCTGTAGCTGCCCATCTGTGAAAGAGGAAAAATATTTCCTCATGATACATTAGCAGGCCCAAAGGGGGACAAAGCTGTGATGGGTTGGGAAGCACTCAGTTACCTGAGTGACAAGTAGTAGAAGAAATGTCTAGAAAATGGGCAGGCTTCTGGGGCAGGCTTTCAACAGCACACAATAAACCAGGCATGGGGCCACCCACTAAACCACCAAGACACATTACTGACAAGCTGTGTATTGAGTGAGATCCAGCACACCTCCCGTGGCATGGCAGAGTGCAGGGAAGGACACTGGGGTGCAGCCAGACACCCACACTACAGCTAAACCATGGCTGTGCTGCTCGGGCAGGAGCTGCACTTGTGCTGCTGAGGTGTCAAGTGGGGCCTAGAGGCTCTCCCAGGTCACTCAGAATTTCTCCCTTGGATCCAAACTCCCAGTTACTGCAGTGACATGTAGCTCCTGAAAATTCCTGCTTCCATTTGCTCTGAAATGCTCGCAGTACCTGCTGTCCCTGAATTTATCATCATAGCTCGCATATGGATTTAAGACAGGAGCCTGAGCAGAAACACCCCAGACAGCGCCTAGCTGCTCTGAGCCAAAGCAAGGCATCCATCCTGGTGTATTGGATGTATCCCTCTAGGTTTACTTTCACCTGTGTTCCACACCAGACTGCTGCCAGCCAACAGTGCCATCGCCTTCTGTTCAATGTGCCACAGCAGCCTCAGCCCCTCTGCTGCCTTGGCAAGAGCAGGCAGTGGGCTTGGGACATACACATCTCTATCTGGGTCCTCAGATGCAAACACAACCCCAGGCTTCCTTTTGCTGACTTCTTCTTAACCTTGAATTAAAGAGTAAATCAGTTGAATGATCTGTTCTGCAAATTCATAGGCAAGGCTTACAGACTGCGAGCAAAATGAGGAGAAGAAAGAGCAAGGCCGAGAGGATGGCCAGATGTCCCTAGCAAGGGAAAAATCCTCCTGGAGCTGGGCATCTGGATTTCACAGTCACCAAACACCAGCAGTCACCACCATATGCTGAGCAGAAAACACAAACCTGTTCTACACCCCCAGTGACAGAGGAACACATTGGCAGATTGAAGAAGCTTAGCAGGATTTGATTTGGGAGAAAGTCATGAAACTCCCTTGGCATAAGACATCCACTAGCAAAGACCTCACCTGCAGCAGAAACAAGTCCTTTCCTTCCCCTGGTGGCCCTCTGTCCTACCTAGATGAGACATGTGCCTCCTCTAGAGGGAATCTGGAGGTATCAGAAGCCCATTTCTGACCTGGGGCTACCTGCAGTGCTGCACTTGTTATGGGCATTCAAACCAGCCGCTGTCCTGCATCAGGGACAAGCACACCAGGGTCGGCTGAATGCAGCTGCCAAATTGCCTGTCTGTGCCCTATGATTTGGTGGAGAGGGATGGGAGAAGGGAAAGACAAAAGGAGCTGGATTTGGGTTGTGCTGGAAAGGCAGGTTTTGTCTTCATGTGTTGTCTGCTCTCAGCTCTTGTGTGTGTGGCTTTGTTATGTGTGAGCAACCATCGCTTTCAGTTCCTGGTAACTCAGTCCTATTTCTGTTTTCAGGAGCTCCTTATCAAGCTCAGTTCCTAGCCACCTGTCAAAGGCTCTGCCTCCTACCCTTGGATTTGCTCAATCTTTTCTTCTCCTTTGATAGGATGTCCCCTGGTGACACTTAACTTACCCAACCGGTCCTCCCAGGGAGCTGGATGACTTTCAAAACCTTTCTGTTGATCACTTCACAGAACTTGAAGCTCATGGCTACTTGCATAACAAGGGATGCAATCTAGTGGAGGTAACAAACCCCTTCCTCTGTCCCCACCATATCCAGGTGGGTCACTCCCAAACATGACAAACTGGTGACAGCTGTGTGCAGGACCTCCCAGAAGTTGAACCAGCTGCAATAAGGAATGAAGATTCAAAGCAGGAAGAGTGAACAGAGGTTGGAGGAATGTGGTAGAAAAGCCACCCCAGAATTAAGCTATTGCTGCCCAGGTGTTTGCTATTCTTACTAATCAAAATCACCCAGAACCCGATGGTTCTCTGCTAATGATGACCTCCAGGACAGGGCTATGTGTTAAAACTGATCATTCTAAGTAGCCTTGATAAATGTATTGCTGCTAGAGGACAGGAATATGTCTTAGACAAGGCCAGATGTCCTGTTACATTGCAGGACATAATCTTAGCTTGTGTAGTGGCCATCTATCACATTTTGATTGCACAAAACATGCTGGACCTACCTGGATCCTCCAACACTGATCCCAAATCCTTGACCGTTGTTTAAGAACAACCTAATAGAAAAAGGGCAAAGCTGCTTTTGTATAAATAGCGTTTTTGGAGGCCACTGGTATATTCTCTTCCCAATCAAAAATTACTTTCTGATAATGGTGAAAATCCCATCATATTCTACCATTTTCAAAAATAAAAGTTTTATTCACTGTGCTCGGTTTTGTTTGTTTGTCTGTTTGTTTTTCCAGTTAAAGAAAAGCCTGGCCTCCTTTGTTGGTCATATTAAATACCTTATTTAAATAGCTGAAACCAAGTAACCCTTTAAGGAAGTACCTGGCAGAGACAGCCACGTGCGAAATTAGTTAGTCTCTAACCAAGGGCTCTCTATTAGCTTTATTTAATACGTATAAAGGACTCTGTGTTGCTGTCCCTATTACAGACCCAAGGCAGCAGATTTCACACTGAACTGCATTTGGTCTTGCATGCCTATTTCCCCCATAGCTTTACTTACCATGCTTACAAAGCCTAAACAGACAGGCATGTGCTTATATATTTTGAAGAGCACATTTCCTCATACCATACAAGAGATTTCTTTGAATACCCTTTCATCATTTGCAACAGCGCCCTTGGAAGTTTTAGCAATATTTGTTTCAGATAAGTTTATTTTTGTATGATTGATTGAAATCTCAAGCTGCAATTAAGAAAATTGCAGGGGGAACCATTAAAGGGATAGCGTCATTTTCTCCCCTTTCCACTAAAATGTCAGGTTTCAATGTCACCGCAAGATAACCCAATCGCGTGCTTGTACACCGCTCTCCCAGGCTGGAGTAAGAGTAAAACCGTCTGGAGTACTAATTACAAATGACTAGAAATAATGACACTCAGCAGAAGGAAAATGAAAGGCCCCGGTCCTTATTACTTAACCGCCGAGGTGTGTGTGCGCGGTAATGCGGATTATGGTGAAGCAGTCTATTTAGTAAATACACAAACATCCATCCCCACTTGTAGATTAGCCTCAGTCCCTCCCCCATCTCCCTCTCTCTCTCTGCCCTTTCTTTCTCTCCAATTATAAACCAGCACCAGGTTTTCTCATCAGCCATCTCCATGTCTCCAAATGGCTTTTCAGTGTCAGGCCTATCAGGAAATTAACTCATCATGCAGTGACAGCTGCTAATTTTTTCCCCTTACATGTCAGATGGATCGCCTGCTGAAGCTAATAATGAATCACCAATCCCTGATTAGAAGGTGCTTCCGAAACATATAACTGCCATCTGAGCTAACTTTTTTCTTCATATAAAATGATATCACCCTAGAGGAGCAGAAAACGAATTGTATTCTTCAACAAGATGGAACTGGGGTAGGCTGTTTAAGTGAGCCGTGTGCTATCTTAAATTATGGGCTAATATTGCGCAGTAAAATAAGTGAAAACTCACAGCTCTCTTTTATTTTGCCAAATGAATGACCTTTTTCTGTTACTTAATACTCTCACTAGAACTAAGTTTGTTTCAAATTTCAGGAGTGGTTTTGTCTTCATCCTTTTCATTCTGTTTACAGCTGTTGTGCTCAGGAAATCTACTGAGCAGGGAAAGTTGGAAAAAAGCCATGTAAGCTGCTTTCTGAGGCCTGCATCTACCACCAGGCCAGCTCCTTGTGCTGGTCTGCCAATAACTCCAACCCCATCTCTCAATCCCAGTGATTTTCTGAAGGGAACTCACCGGCATTTTAAGCACAGGTCCAGTTCAGGGGTAGACACAACTTTGAGACGCAGAGATTCCTACAGTGATTATACAAGCTGAATCTACTGTTCGCAAAGATCAGAAACACATTTCTTCCAGGACTCCCAGCTAACATTTCTGGTATTAAAGCAGCATTTATAAATGACAGCAGTGCCTGCAGTAGTATGCACAATCCACATGTGCATACCTTAGCGCATCAACTATTTGCTCTGGCTCATCTCGCTTCCATAGCGAAGTAGAGCTGGTAGTCAGGCAGAATGGTATGTAGCTGTGGGCACTTTTGAGTCGTGTTGGGGTTTGGGTTCTTTTTGTTTTGTTTTTGTTATAGGAAATATTTCTCTAAACATAGTTTCCAGCTATCTTCTATCTCCCTTTTCTCCCCAAATACTGAGCCTGAATCCAGAGGCTAGGAGACACTGCCTCAGGAGGTGTATATCTGATTCTTACGAAACGAAGGGTGAAACTCTTGCCAGAAACATCTCTTCTTCCTCTGGCTTTGTTTTCATTTAGGTTTTGGGTTTTTTTTGGTTCATTTTCGGTGGTTGTTGATTTTTGTGTTGTTTGTTGAGATTTTTCCCTACACACTGGTTCAGTGCTTCCCAAACACTTTTTTACCTGTTTGGCATTGTCATGGTATGATCCAACTTTGCTAATGCTAATCCAGAATGGATAACAAAGAGGAAATTAAGACAATGGCTCTGGCAGTCAGAACATCAGAAGGCAACTAGCTGACACAGGGGACATTGCACTCTCAACAACCGCTGCCATTACAGTGTAGCCCTTGATTTTTCTGGGAGACAGGCAAACAAAGGTGTTCGAACCAAACAATAAAACACACTTTTAGGAGTGAATGGCTGCCTGGGCTAAAAGCCTTCCTTGGTGCACAAGTTCTTAAACTATGCTCTGATGGTGGACGCTACCCATGGCAAAGGGCTCCTGTCGCCCCTGAGATGCCGTGTGTGCCTCACCAGCACTGCAAACGGCCATCCTGGGGGTGCAGGTCTTTTTCAGGTGCTGCTGTGCCCTCTCCCAGGGCAGAGGGCAAGGTAATGCTTGGCCGATTCACAGGGTGATCCAGCTAATCTCCTCCCAGTTTACAGGATGGCACAGTGCCAGGAGCTCAGGCATGAGAGGGAGACAAATGCCAGAGTTGAGTTTCCTAAGCCCTGGGAGAGATCTGCTGCAGGCTCAACTTTTGGTGTATGGCAGAGAGTGTTTTAGCATGGGGTTGAGATAGCGTATCTGCACGAGAATGAATGTCACCCTTGGCTTCTGATGCTACATTTGTAGGGCATGAATAAGTTAACTTGAAAGCTCATATTAAAAAGAAAGGAAAAAGAGGAAAAAAGACTTAGAAAAATATTAGCTCTCCTGATCAGGCTGCACTCAGAGAGAAGTATCGTTAACCTGAGCTTCCAGGTAATTACAGCACACAGCAGGTTAGTGAATCCTTTCCAATGCTCCCAAGCACAGGAACACCTACCACTGTATTTTATTTTTTTTTATGCAAAGGTCTGCTCTTTTCATTGTGCATACAATGTGATTGCTGGTTTGACACTGCAGGCTACACTGGTTTTATGAAGGATTAAATGCCACCTGAGACATATTTATCCTAAATAAATCACAAATGGTAAACTGCAGCATGTCAGTGTCAACACCCTGTACTGCAGCAGAAAGGTTAGCCATACAGGGCTAAGCACAGCGAAGAATTAGCATCCAAGCTGCAAGACCACAGGGCTACAGTTAACAGGAGAAATGATCAAGAAGAAATATTTCCACTGAAAAACATTCAGTTTTTTGAACATCTGTGAGAGTCTTGCAGAGGGCCATCATTTTGTAAAGGTCACCTTTTTCCTGATAACAAACGGGAGTTGATCCTGTCACAGTTTGCTGAAGACAGTATTTAAGAGTAAGTGAACAGCCTGTCACTTTTAAGAAAGACGAGCAAGTCAAACTCGGCTAATTATGAATCTCGATGTCTAACTTGAAATTTACTTTTTGGGGGTTTGACAAAGACACAACCTTAATTCCTGGAAAATAATGAAACTTAAAAAATAATAATAAAAAGATGAAAAGACAGCAGGATCCTACAGCCCCAGAATGAAGCACCTTTTCTCAGCAGCTCTATTAGAAAATGCATTTTAAAACGGTTGCTTCAGGAAGGAACTATTGTTTTACCTCACCCCAACTTTCTTACAGTTGATAATTTTAAGATATTAAACATGATAGGAAACCCAGTTATCTCTAGAGTCAGCATGGCTTATACCCTAAACACTTACACAATTATGTTAAGCATGCATGAGGCACACTTCAGAAATTAGATTCTTTTATCTTTATCTATCTAGCAAGCTAGAGAAAGGAAAAGAGAAAATGCACAGACATAACAGATAGCATTCGTTTGCTCCTGCTGAATGCCAGTTCTGTTTATTGCTTAATATTAAAAATCATGATGCTTCATTTTAATGTTAACATTTTATTTGAAAGACAAAGAAAAAAAATAAATCCCCAAACCTTGCCAGTTTATAGTTTACATTTTTTTTTTTAAAGAAACAAAAGCAGTTGAATCATGAAACAAATCTTTTCAACGTGAAGTTGCATTGAACGATTGCAGTATATCCACAAGTAAATAACTGACAGTCTGGACTAAGCAAGAAATACAAGGTCACCTTTTTTTTTTTTCTACTTGTTAATGTCAATGTCAGAATTTTCTTTAGAAAACCCCATAACATTTCAGAAGTCGCTCATAAAATGACTGCAAAATGGTATTTATATGAAGCACTACTTATAAGAAAAGCAAAACACTGACAGTGACAATATTTTTCTCCAGAAAATGAACATTTCTTACGTAGGACTCTCATCTAAAATTGTGGAAGACACAGGCATCAAGTTCTTCATCCTGAATATGTATAATCAAGAGTTTTCCGAAGTGTGGCTCTTCTTTAGGGAAAGTCCTCTTTGATATAATGAAAGAGTAAGTTACTATGAAAAATTTTATTTTAGATGCAAAAAAATACTTATTCTTGATGACATATTTTTAGCCAGGGATATTTCACAATAAGATTCTAGAAAGCAAAATGTCACCTGTTCTTCTTTTCTTTAAAATGAAGAAGAGCACCGATTACAGTCCTTATTCACCTTGTTATTGTGGGGTTTGTATTTTTTTTCTTATTTATCTGTTCACAAAATGTACACATACGTTGAATATTTTCCTCCTGCATTTATGTTAGACAAAAGTGATGGAAGACAGGGAATTACCCTGAGATAAAATATTTTAATAAACCCAAACAAAACAACAAAGAAAGCAGTGAACAGAATAATACCTATTTTTTTTTTTTTTTTGTTGGGGGGGGGGGAGAGCTTTTGATTCTCTTTTTTACTCTAATATGCTTGTTTCATAATAATCCATATAATAATTCTTAGAGCTATTGTAACAAGAATGTACTACCCTTTTCAGTGAAATCCTCCCAGTAGCTGGCCTTCACCTCCCACAGGGTGGGTATTTGCTACCTGACTAGGAGGATGTTGTGTGGAGAAGCTTTTACAGTAAATGTTCCAGTGCCTCCATGGATCCATGAATTTCCAGCTTTGCCCTGCATCAGGACTAGGAGATGAAAGTCTTCATGCTTCTTCTACTTTGTTATCATCTCTCTGGCTCTGAATTACTTGTGAGCCACCCTCTGTATAAATGACCATGCTTGTTAACTGTTCTGCTCTATCACAGTTTATGGCTTCTGCTTTTATAGCAGTACCAGTCTGCAAAATCTCTTGAGACCCAGCTGTCTCTATCACAGCATGTGAGTACACACCAGGCTCCTCCTGCATGTCTGGTGGCAATTCTGTGACAATGTAGTGGGTTGCACCTTCAGAGAAGTTGCCATCAGAACCCTGAACCATAGCTTGAGCTATTTCTTCAGTGACAATAATCTGTGATATTTCCCCATCTGACTGGACTAAATCCACGTGCTCACTCTGGACACTGAGTGCGTGGCTACCAGCTTCCTGCATAATTATTTGAGAACCTTCTCTAGCTACCATATGCACAGTCCCTTCCTCATTTACAATGACCTGAGTGACACCTTCTTTCATCAGCTGGTCGGCTGCAGCTGTATCACATACAGCAAACTGTAATACTCCTTGGACCATTTTCTCCAAGGCAGCCTGAGCTCTCTCCTGAGATGCAATTATAGCCGATGGGTGCATGACCCGCGTCACTACTTCCATAGGTTCGGTATCTTCCTGAGTCTCTTGAACTTCATGGAACATTTGTATTTCTTGTCCCTCCGTGTCACTGGGAATGCTGGGCATCTCTGGATTTGGCATTTGCAAGAAATCTTTATGACTTGATCTGCATCTGTCAAGGAGTCCAGATTTGTTTTCCACTTCACCTAGCTCTGTTACAGCACACAGCAGGGCATCTAATGCCGAGGAGGAGTCTGGAGGATGCACTGTAGCTTCAGAAACATCCAAAACTTCTTGTCGCATTATCTGCTGCAGAACAGTACTACTGGAGTCAGGAACTGCATCTATTTGAACAGCCGCCTCCATATCAGTTCCTGTTTCTTCAACCACTACCACCTGTGTTGCACCATCTGCTAACTGCTCAGTAAGTATCTGCCCTGGAACCATACTACTCACGCGTGAGCCATTTTGATCTGTAGCTATGACTTGCCCATCTTCTGTAATATGGACCACCCTGGCCATCTGACCAGCCATTGCTAGAGTCTGAAGGGTAGCCGCTGCTGTTTCTTCCATAGAGGCATCAATTGCAAAGTCACCATCATATCCTTGAATAATAATAACTTGCTGAACTTCTTCAGGTGACTGTGTCTGTCTTCTACTGCCTCGAAAGGCCTTCTCTTTAACTGGAGAAACCTCTCCCAGTGTTGCTGCAGTAAAAGGACTCGTAGTTTCCACAAAGGTTGCTCCTTGTCCCTTCAGTCGGCACTCATAGGACTTGGACACAATGCCTACAAGATAAAATATGCTGTTAACATGGTATCATGGCAAATATCAGTTCATTACTTTAACAAATTGTAGCTTAAATGGAAAAAAAAAATCCTTGATAATTTTTAGATTTCCCTGGCAGAAAACACAGATAAAATAAGCACATGAACAAACCCAATTTGCATGTTTTCCAAATAACATACTTACAGGTTGAAATAATTGCTGAGTTTAACAATTCTGCAGCCTATTAACAATTTAAATGTGTTTTTTAAAATATGCTGTATGAAAAAGCTCAGATAAATACAGTATACAGTTAAAAGCCATTAACACATCTTTTATAGAAGATCCTATTGGTGATATTTCAGTTCTTCAGTAATGAATTTTAGGATCGTGTATTACATTAAACATATTTAGGTGTGAAAAACCATGGCTGATCTTCTTAATACCCTCCTTTTGTTGGCAACGTAATTGCCATGCTGTCATTTTGATGCCATTGTCTTCCCCTTCATTTCCCACCTAGCATCTTCTCCAGCACACCTGACTGACTCAGTCACTAGCCAAGTTACCTGGAGGAAACACTCTGCAGATTTCTTACCCTAAGCAGGATATTCTATAAAATATCATCCAGGGAAACCTTCATTACACTTCTTAACTATTTCTACGTTAAATCAATTAAAGATTAAAATACCTGTAACCTCCGCATTCCAACTGCTTGCTCTGCCACTCGCTCTGGTTTTGGGTCGCTGAAAGTTTCCTTCTCAGTTCTCATCAGTAACAATAAAGCTTCAGCAAGGCAAATGGTGCCCGCAGTTACAAAAGTTAAGCCCACCATCCTCGAAGCATGGCCTCAGGATTGCCTTTGTCATTTTTGGGAAGGCATAACTGAGAGCACCCTGTGACCAGCTTTATGGATGTTTGTTATGGCAGAACACCTCTAGCACTTGTGGTCTCCCTCTGGCAATGCCATCATGCAGCACCCCTGCAGCTCCCGGGAAGTGAGCTTTGGGCCACAATAAATGCACACAGAGTGAAGAGTGGATCCTGGACATTGAGAATGAGGTAAGAGTGTAATGCCAGGTGGGCCTTGGCAAAGCCGATTAAGTCCATGCTGCCGAGACTACTCACACCCATGCTGTAGTTTAAATTCACCTGTATAAACTGAAATTACATCTGTGGAATAACAGGTATAGCATCTGATCACTAACACACATAGGTACACCACTGCTCGTTTAGGATAAAACAAACAAGAAAAAAATGACTTTTACAGTTAAATTTCAGGCTAGCACTGTAGCTTCCAAGCCACCAAGAGACTTGTAGAGAACAACATGCTCTCTTGAACTCAAGGCCAAGAAAATTTTACTAAAGCTGCTCTAAAGAGGCTCTTTCACCCAAAGCATAGTGCTGTCAGGCCTTAGGGCCCACAGAGAACTAAACTGGGTTCTAAAAACCAGAGACTCATTTGCTTAAGTTCACATTTAGGAGCTGTTACTTGGAGACTGAGTACTTAGCATCTTGCAGCCTCTAGCAACTTCATATGCATATCAAGCTAATATTCCAACGTAACAGCAAAGCTTAAAAGACTGAGTTGGTGGTATGGACCTCTCTATGTATGTATGTATGTATGCATGTATGTATGTATCTATCGATTTATCTATATATCTACCTATCTATCTATTTATCTATCTATATATCTATCTACCTATCCATCCATCCATTTATTATTACAAAGCTTTGGTAATAGAAAAAAAAAAAAAAAGCTTTGAGAACTGTACTGTGAAGCACAAGAAGTAATTCTGTTAAGCTGAAGGGCTGCAAATCACCTTCACAAGTCTAAACTGATGTTATACAACTTTCTCCATCTTAGTTTGCAAGGCAGGTTATCTTTGGAAAAGAAAATTAACAATTTAAACCATTAGAGTGTTTCCAGGTGATGCTGCATGATAAATCTGGCACATGCAATTGAAGTACATTTTGTCAGGCATAAGAAAGAAGGAAGCCTATAGGGGTACGACTGGTTCTTATCCCCACTTTTCCTGTGCTCTCTGTAGGCACTGACATTCACAAGACCCCCCAAAGAGCAGAAAAATAGGAAGGGGAAATCAACATAAAATGACAATTATCTTAGCTCCTCCACATTTTATAATAGAGTAGAAGTAATTAATTCTCTCAGGAATCTCGCTTTGTTGACATGATAAAAGAGGAGCCTGGCAGTGATGTGGCACAAAATCAAAATAACTCTACAAATCATCCATTTTTCACTGGATTTCAAAATCAAAATAACTCTATGATCATAATTTTCACACGAGCACAGCAAAATCATGACATCTTTCCCCTAAGATCTTGATAATTTATGTAGGGGACACAACACCACTGCATTGAGGAGAAGCTCCGGTCTGGGGAAGGGAAAGAAAAAGGAAATTCATCCTGTTTTCATCTCCTCAAATAAAGGCTGTACCTGTGAATCTATGCAACTCCAGTCTTTCTGTGCAATTGAATGGGAAGTCTCCTGGGTGAAGAGCTATCCAGTGAATCCCTTGCAGCACTGATAATTATGCCATTCTGACTGCTTACTTAATCTATTTGAATCCAGAGGTGAGTTAAGCTACTTCCTGACCATTAAAGTAAACTACATGGGTAAATACTGCTGTCACTAAGGGGAGTGATGAAGCTTAACTACACCAACATCTTAACCTCAGCTCAGTGCAACCCTAGCTATTCCATCACAGTTCATAAATGCGATTGCAGGTCCATCTTTTGATTCAGCAATTTAATAACTTCGAGTGCTGTCAGTACTGCTTTGAAAAATGGCTCCTATGAAATGTAACAGCCTCAATCAGATTGTAAAAGATTCACCCACTGAAGATTCTTCCATTTCAACTATAATGAATTAATGTTGAGCTGTGTAGAAGTTCAAGTGTCATTTAAACTAATGTGAATCTACTGTAACTTTAAATTTTAACTGGACTATGACCAAGAATTTACTGGGAACATCAACTTCAATTTTAGTGATTTTTCATGGTAAATATCAATTGCAGATTTTACTGGTTTTCTTTTAACAGTGAAAAGCCAAGTAAGGAAGATATTTAGAAAACAACATATTTTAAGGCTTAGCTGCTATTTCAACTTTGGAGCAGTGCAATTCTGTAATGGAGCAAGGCTGTCCAACACAACGTTTGTAGGAATTTTTACATATTTAAGGAACGTGTCACATTATTAGACTGTATGTAGCAACAAATCATATTGTTCTAGTAAATCCAGCCTGCCTCTCACCCCCCTTAAAAAAGGGTAAAGAGAAGGGGTAAGCGTTGGCTGACACGGCAAACATAAGCTGCAATACAAGCCCACATTAATATTAGGCAAAGTGGACTTGTTGCTGATTGCATGTCATTGCAAATTAAAAAGATACACAAATAGGCATTAAAATGACAAAATATAATGATACAAGAGCTCATATTCAGACAATTTGTAAAGAGGTGTTTCATATCTAGGGGTGCAATGATCACAGAATTGGTTTCTTTCCAAGAAGTCTGTCATTTCAGCAGAGCCATTATTTATCAGTTGGAGTCCTGAGCGACCGTTAGTTTTTTATTTGAAAATGTCAGGATTTTTTAGACATTAAATCCATATTCTCAGGTTATTTTAATTCTCAGAGACCACAAACTCCTGAAATAGGGCTAAAAGAAATGCTTTGATGTTTAATGTGCTTCTAGGAAACTACAAATAGGGTTTAGTACCTTTTTTCCCTCTCTTTTACTCAATACCTGACTTTCTTTTGTGTGTCTGTTTTACTCTTTTGTTACTGTCATCATTTGCTCCCCATAGAATAAATACCTTATTCTTTTGTTAAGCTTACATTTAATTAAAATGTACAGTATTTGTGCCGTAAACTCGAATGAAACAAATAAAACAAGGGCCCCCTCTCTTGAAGGCATACGTTGTGAATGAAAAATGTCATTACAGACTAAAAAATTTTGCAGTAAACAGGGCCTACAGAGAGAAGTTTCCCCCGTAATGACATCCATAAAATACACAAATGGCACTTTTAGTACCATCCTGAATATGGCATTTTCTGTGCTCTACACACAATCTAAATGGTTTGATCATAGAGCATAATACTCCATTGGGTTTATAGAACAATCAATGTTCCATAAAATGATGTATTTATCCAATAGTAGGCTCAGCAGTTACTGGTGTATGACATTGTAGGACACTGGCTTTGTACTGTTCAGCAGCACACATGCTGGCTGTAAAACTTATCTAACACTACTCCAACAACTTCATCTCATCTGTGTCAAGTAATTTGTTGAAGCCTCAGCTTGGTTTAAAAAAACTTGTAATAAAAATTCATAGAATTTTCAGGAGAATGAAAGCTGATGACAATAGAAAGGTCACATTGTGGCGCCACTCGCGGGGTCGGGGGTCAGCCGCAGTTCTAAAACAGAAAGTAGATTTCATGCATCGTGTAGCAGATAAAGATGGCATTAAGGAGACTTGTCTCGGAAAGAAATGCGTAATGTGTTAGGAAAGTCTGGGCTAATATTATATGTAAAGCACTACTTTGCTCTCAGCCAGCAGCCTCTTTAGAATTCTAACCCTTCCCCAAAAGTAGCAGCAAGCGGCTGTGCATGGTGAGGCTAGGCTGAGGACATCCTTCACAAGGAGCACCTTTAGGACAAAGCAGTAAGTCATGAATGAAATAATCTATTACGACGACGGAAATGATCTGCATTTACACAGCAAGCTTAAACCAGCTATTTTTCCTTCCCTGCAAAAGTTCTGGGAGACCTGATTTATAGCACCCCATTCAGCAACACTTAATTTTTCATACTTTGGTGATTAGGTATGTTATTTATTGACACATATGAGTATTTGGTATATACTAAAATGCAATGAATATTAAATAATGTGAACGCAAAGAAACATCTTTTCCTTCATTTAAATACAACCTTCCAGGAATTTAAAAGATGTAGAAAAGTCAACTTATATTGGACATCGCTTGAATGAGCAACTGATTTTTTCATTT